AGGAGGAGGAGGAGGAGGAGGAGGAGGAGGAGGAGGAGGAGGAGGAGATTAGAGACAGGATCTTGCTCTGTCGCCCAGACTCCAGTGCAGTGGTGTGATCACTGCTCCCTGCAGCCTCCATCTTGTGTTCTAGCAATCCTCTAGCCTCAGCGTCCGGAGTAGCTGAGGCTGCAAGTGAGCGCCACCAGGCTAGCTTTTTTTTTTTTTTTTTTTTTTTTTTTTGTAGAGACAGGATTTCACCATGTTGCCAGGCTCGTCTTGAATTCCCGGCCTCAAGTTATCCACTTGCTTCCGCCTCCCAACGTATTGGGATTACAGGCACGAGCCACCACCCTCGGTGAGATTATTCTAAGCTGTGTAGAACTTTTAAAAGTGGAGACAGGAAATAGCATGTAAACGCTCCCAGTGAACTTCCTTTGGGTGGTGAGGGGCACAGTAGTAGTCTCAGGTGTGTGAAGGGAGCTATGAGAAATAAACCTGAAAAGATGGGATGGAGACCTTGAACGCTAGACTAGGGAATCTGTTCTTGATCATTTAAGCAAAAGGAAGCCAGTGAAAATCTTGGGCACACCGTACATCAAAACTGCTCTTAAGGAAATTAACCTGGCAGGAAGATGAAGGGTGGATTGGCAAGGGGAGAGACTTCAGGCTGGGAAACCAAGGGAGGCTGCTGCAACAGTACAGGCAAAGGGAGTGGAATGGAGGTGACCGACCGCTGCAGCAGGCTCTAGAGTCTCGCAGTGCGGACGTTAGAGGTACCACTCTGGGACAGAGATCCCTCCTGGGGCAGGGTCTGGGAGGAGCTAAAGTTATAACCACACCCCCGGTGACGCCGGGTGGTCGGCTGTAGCCTTCTACTGGCTACGCTGGCCGCCAGTCCGGGAGGAGGCGGTGCCCTTCCCCGCCCTCTCCCAGCTCGGCTTGAGGCGGGCGCGGGCTGGGAGCCCGTGGAGCCCGGGGGCCAGGCGCGGCCGGGATATCTGGCGCTGCGGCCGGGGACCCGCTGCTGAGATAGGCAGGTGAGAAGGCCCGGGGCCGAGGGGTGACCCCAGCGTCTCCGCCACCCTGGGATCCCTGCCCCCTCGAGAGCGCGCCGTCCTGGGGGGCTCGCGGGGCGGAGGTTGGGGACGCCGGGCGGAGCGGGCGAGCGGGGACAAGGGGGACGGAGCGCGTTGGCTCGGGACCCGTCGCTGCATCTCCCGCTGCAGCCCCGAGTCGGCCCCCAGGTCTAGGTGTCGCCGGGAGAGGTGGGCAGGGGGCGGTGGCCGGCGGCCCCTCGCGCCCTTGGGCTCCCTTGATGTTCTGTTTGGAAACACCGGGCCCGGGCTTCTGGAGCGGCGCGAGCGGTCCCGGGGGCGCAGCGGGGCAGCCTAGGGTCCCGGCGCGGAGGGACCTGCGCAGCCAGGGATGCCGCGCTCGGCTTCGGCTTCGGGAGCTCCACTAGGATCTCCGGGGCGAAACTTTAAACTCAAAACTTAGGCCGGGCGCGGTGGCTCAAGCCTGTAATCCCAGCACTTTGGGAGGCCGAGGCGGGTGGATCACAAGGTCAAGAGATCGAGACCATCCTGGTCAACATGGTGA